CCGAAATCCTCAGAACCCTAAACCCTAAATTCCCAGCCCCGGAAGTAGCCTGGTGCAGGGACTGCTTCACTTTCTGCACCCGGGGCTCCTGACCCAGCTCTTGCAGCTGAACCTGAGGCTTTTTGGGGGCTTCAGGGTGTAGGATTGCCGGAGGTTCAAGATCCAGCTGAGAAGTGCGAGCCCCGTTATGAAGTTTGGATTTGGAATGTTAAGTGTCCAGGGTCAGGAGGTCATGTTTTTGGCAGGGTTTAGACTTTAGGCTGAGAGTCTAAAAGATTGAGGCTTCAGAGTATCAACTTCAGGGTGCAAACTTCAAGTAGTGTTTTGGGCTTAGGTTCAAGCACATCTCTTGGCCCTCGACCTTCTAGTCCTTGTGTTTCTCCGCCGTTTACACTGTAGATATCCGGCCAGTCCTTACAATTGCACATCCATACGAATTTTGAAGGCCGGTCAAGAGTTTCTACCTCATAAATGGCTAAAGCTTCACAAGTGAGAATTCGGATCTGCATTGACTGTGAAGCGGGCCTGGCTTGAATGGCTAGGGCTTAGCGTGTCACACTTTGGGTTTCGGTACGGATGATCCAGTGTGTGGATGTAGTGGTGATTAAACGCGGCTTCTGGATTGCATTTTGCCCGGACTTCAAGGGTTCTTCAGTATGTTGGCTTCGGGCTTTAGGGGACGAGGCTGCTAAAGCTGCATCTCACACGGCGGGAGTCCGCTAGGTGATGTCCCACGACAAAAGCCATCATGCTGGCGAAGTTCCACATGTTATGTTGCAGCGTGTTGAATGTCGAGACGAAGGGTCACACAGGCTAGGGTTACATCCATACACACTAAAACCTGAAGATCTAGCATTGAGGTTTGACAGAGCAAGCCTCGGCCCGTGAAGCATACAGAGTACAGGCCGCTGCCAACGCAGACCCCTGATTTCAACAGACCCGTCAACAACAGTGTAAGTTTGAGTCCTTAAAGTAACACGGCTGGCTGCAGTAGTCTATCTGCAATAAGTTTGCGGAAAAAACGTCAACAAGAATCCTGATGTTTGAAGCCGTCTCAGGCCCTGCCAAAGCTGCTACCTCAGCAAACTTCCTCAGCTAAACACTGTTACAAGCTTTCCTCTTAAACGGCTCAACGTACGGCTGTCACCTTGTTCCCGCGCCGCGCTAAGGCATACAGCAGCTCGATGCGAAGACTTTGCATCTTCTCAAACCTCAGCATATGGAGGAGGGCGAATTGTGGCCCACTTGTGAGGTTACTACGAGGATCCATTTCTTGGAACTTCGGGCATACAGAGCACCCTGAATTCGACCATGACGACTCTCTTGCACAGACTGCATCACTTGCGGGTGAACTACTTGTGCATCAAACCGCCTCATCACCCTTTCACCCAGTGTTATGGTGTAGGGTGCGCGCTACCAGAATGGCACATTGGCATACTCGCGGCAAAGCTGCGTTTACAAGTGCGTTTAGCCAGTTCTCCTTTGCATGGCTCACTGAGATAGTTGGGTAGTGAGGCCAAGGGCCATATTGAATCTGCGGCTGCTGGCATCTACCACCCCACCCACTTTATTGGTTTGGCAGGGGTGCGATAGCTGTTGAGGAGAAAGGACCCCGAACCCTAAGCAAACCTTTCGCATGTCGCGCCCAGACGGAAGCTCTGATGATTGTGCAAGAGGAAGGGACGCACAAAACATCTGAACGCATAACGTCCAGCAGGCATTCCTGCACACATGCAAAACCTTACAAGTTAGCTAGATAAGTTGTAGGGACAGAAACAGAGGATCGTGAGCCGCCTCTACCACGTATGAGGATCTGTACTGTGGAGTATTGCTTCCTCCGACTCCTGCCACCACCAACGATCCATGCCACCATCACCCACCTTGCCACTTGATCTTGAAATACGCGTCAAGATGCTAGTAACTGCTAGTATTTTGAAGGCAGCCCGTTCTGCTCTAAAACCCATCGAAACAGCCCTTTTCAGGAGGGAGCATGACTTAGATAGGGCTACTTACTGGTCACAAATCATCATCGGCGCATGATCTCTGTGTAGGCCATGCATACTGCTTACATCAGGCAAGCCCTGTATCTGTAGCATCCCCAAGCAGACATCCAGTTCCCCTCACAACTTGGTTACTAGAAATCAGAAGGTCGAACTTACCAAAAGCCATGATCACAAGAACGCGCCGCCCACCAACTATCGCGATAGATTGCCGCATGTTTGCCACAAGGAAGCTGCGACTTCGGATTCTCTATCCTGGGAGGTAGAGCCTCCTGCACAAAGGTTTAGGGCTTTGGAGTTTCAGGTTTACGGTGCTGCAAACAAAAAGATGTATAAATACTCGTGAAAAGAAGACGGACACCGAGGTATCTTTAATCACCTCCTGGGAACAAGAAACTGTCAGCACATATGGCAGATCACATATATAGCTTGCGGCACGCGAGTCGTCTGCACTGCAACATAAGATAATAAGTTCAGAGGACTAAACGGTCATCTTGAATGTTGCGCTGCCTCAGAGACTGCATCTGGACAGCTTTGCATTCCACATCAAGCCACGGTGCTCGGGGGTGACTTTTCCGGTGCAAGACTTGGGTTCGGGGTCACCCTTTCTAGACAGCCCTGCTACTTCGCTCGACTCTTGCAATGATATCCTATATCTTACCAGTAGTGACCCAGCAACCCACTTTGGGACCCCCCTGACACAGCAGCCTGCCTGCTCGTTCATTTCTCTCTCCATGAACTCCTGTGACGGGACGGTCAGGACTCAGGACTTGGGTTTCCGAGTTTGGGTTCCTTGGGCTTTAGAGTGTCCATTTTTCACACTGGAGTCGGCAAGAGTATCCGAGGCTGGTTGCTTTGTGCTTGAGGTTCCAGAACCGCGGCTGAGCTCGACCTCCTGTAAAGGGAAGCCCGAGTGCAGAAGCCAGACAGGCCAGGGCAGACCAATCTACAAGCTAGATGCACGAACCCTATACCCTGCCTCCTGCGCCCTGCGTTCCAAAACCTGCATCCCTGTATGATGCTCTGCTACACACAGAAACCCCAGACTCCAAAAGCCGAAGCCGAAGCCTGATTACAATTCGTTTTCTTGGTGCTTATACAGCGACATCCCGACAATCTTCAGAAACAAGAGCTGCCTCAGCATCAGGAAGGGCAGCTTCGGCACCGGGCTGAAGCTTCACCTGCAGGCACGAGCAAGCGTCCCGTAAAAGAATTTTACAGTTCAGGGTTGAAGGTCTGAAGTTGAGGCTTTTGTGTCTCGTCTTCGGGTCGAGAGATGCCGGGGTCCTGAAAAATCACTCGGGTCTTGCAGGGCCTCTATCAGCATTATAGGTCGAACGACGTAAAGCCCGTCATGAGGAAGTGCCACCAAATTTTATGAATCCCTGCATGATTCGAGGTGCATTTTGCTGTGGAGGGCTTCCAGGCTCTTAGGCCTTATTTGCATGCTCCACCGTTAATAGGGCATGGAATTCACATCACCTACTGGTGATGAAGGCAGTTACGCTAAACCCCACGCTCTGGTCCTCGAGTACTCTCAGGATGCCATGATGTTAGCGGCCTATAAGGGGATTCAAGGCTCCCTTTACGGAATAAGACCTGATACAATTCACGAACCGAAGACAACAAACACAGGACACCTAATTCACTTTTTTTTAAACGCGTCACACACAAGATGCAATACACAGAACACACGACTCTCCACTCCACCCAGTCTCGACTGTCCATTCTCCACTCCACTCTCCACACTCCATTCTCCACTCCACTCTCCAAGCTCCAAAATCCACTTTCCTCTTCAGTCTCCACACTCCCCACTCTTCACACCCCACCACACTTTTCTCCTACATTCTCCGTTCTGCACACTCCAGTCCATCACTTCTCCGCATTCCACTCCGATCTCAACTCCCAACACCCCGTTCTCCACTCTCCGGTCTCCACTCTCTACACGCTCCACTCTCTACACACTCCACTCTCCACACTCCACTCCACTCTCCATCCCACCTTCCACTCCAATTGGCACTCTTCATTCCACTTTCCACTCCGGACAGGAGGGTCCAAGAGCGACGACAGGTACCGGGATAGTGAACCCAGGCGCGCATCCCTGTAACCGTTGACACTGTTGGCACATGACGACACGACTTTCCAAAAGCGAGGACTGTTACGAGGAAGGCGACCCGAAAGCCCCCAGACCCGTGACGGTTGACACTTTTGGAACCCTCTTTGTGGGTCCTGGACTTTCCAGAACACACCTTGACAACCCCCATATGAAATGAGATAACCCTATCCAACCTCTATGACCATGGATACCCAAATAGTAGGACTGATGGTAGTATGGGTATCTCTCAAAATCAAGGTTCTTGTCCTCTCGTTTCCTCAAGATGCTGCTATGGGAACCACCAGACCAGGGGCCCACAATTTTGGAAAAACAATTGCCCACACTAACGAATCCTCAGCCCTTTTGTACAAACACTCCACACCCCCAGCCTATATGACCCGGGACTAGAGATGAACGCTCCTTTCGTGAAAGCTACATGTAGGATGGCACCCAAGAACTTGGCCACTTTTACCACTGGAATCAAGTCGCCTGACGTTTCAGAGTGCAAAGCCCTGTGCCTTTTTGGACAAGACCTGAATACTCTGGCTTCTAATTGCGCAGATAACGCCTGACTAAGCAAAACACCACGTTTTACCAGGCACTTCAGTTCTTGACTAGGCACCACAACATAAATTTCGCATTCCATCATCCATAAAGCATCCTTTGGGAAGTGCCCTGAGATGGTCCCGATCAAATGGAATGTCCCATAGTCTGACTCTTGCCGAAAGGAGTGCGGAACTATCTCTGTAGAGTTGGTCGGTCCTGCAGGTGCACCTCAAACCCACTCTGAGTTTTGATTTGTACATTCCATGTTCTGGCCGAGGATCCAGTTGTCATTCTCGTTTGGATCGTCTGCACACGAATGGCATAAAGCTGCAAGACCACGTCAAATAACCTGCTTTACCTCAAGTGACCTGCCAGCCGCCGCTGGAGCCATCTGGCACCAACTCGAAGATGTCCTCGTACGCCTGCTTCAAAATTCAAAGCCAAACTCCGTCACGTTGAGGAGAAGCTTGAGTTGAGGGTCGAGGTTTTAAGCTCTCTTGGTGGCGTTCAGGGTTTTGGTCTCTGGGACTGACGCGTTTCGGTTGCAGGCTTCTTTGATAAATTGAAAGTCAAAGTGTAGGTGCAGGGTTGAAAGTCGGGGAGGGAGGGCATGGAATGCGTGCAATCCTCCAACGCACCCCAAGACCAAGCATGGAAGAATTCAAGAAGTAGACTGAGACCCGATTGCAAGCCTTTCACTGGACCCCTGTTGCTTAGGACCGAATTGACACAGGAGCGTGGGCTGCATGGCATGCTGTCAAAAAAACATGTTGAGGAAACTGGCTGAACGTTGCCATTGTCAGGAATAGTGCCACAGACTCCGCAGATCGCGATCTGAAAGCAGCTCTGAGGATCCGAACCTCCATGTTTGTCAGGCAGTAACTCTTCTACTGCGACTTTCAACCTCTCAGGACCCATATTACCCCTGTCACTCGACTCTTGTTCTTCTCCTGGTGAAGCTTCTGCAGGATTTTTGAAGGACCCCGTTCCCTCAAAATCCCTGGGCCCTACACCCTAAGTTATAAATGCTAGACCCTGGTCGCCCTAATCCGCAACAATCCGATCCTTCAAACGATGAACTCGGACATGTCAAGCCCTTATCCCAAATACTAGGCTCCAGTAAACCCCCATCCATCAAACTGCTAGAACCTAGTCAATGCGGTGTATCTGTATGAGCTTCAAACCCATCTAACACTCATCACTGAAACCCCCCCGGCCAAAAAAAACAACCCCGCTTTGACAAGCCCTGCTTTACTTTTTGAATTAGCAACGCTTCTGTGCCTCGAGGATGTCGAGCAGTCGGACGCTCTTCCACATGTTGTCCTGGCAGCACGCAGTGGGTTCAGCGGTATAGGGTTCTCTGAATTTATGGAGCTAAGGCAGGATTAGGATATGTGACTCTTACAGTCATAGCATATGCAGGTTGAAAGGTAGGCACTGACACTAGCACCGCTCTAAGGTCGGAAGTGCGTACCCCAATATGACTTGCATGAGGGGACCGCAGCCATACCCCAGATCAAGCGCATCCTTCGTACAGCCAGACGAGGGAGCTGTAGTACACTGTGGCACACTGTGGTGGTTATCCTCATTAGGAACCTTCAGCCTCTTACCCGGAACCGACAGAATGGCCTTCTTCAGCTGGGAGACTTTGTAGTCAGATCCCAGCCTCAGAGGGTGCGACCAATACAGGGGCCTGAATAGTGGCAACAGAGGAGTATACAGGGGAACAAGGCTTTGGGGGTAGCTGGTCTAGTTTCCTTGCAGCTTCTAGAACAAGAGCAGGCTTGATCTGCCAACGTATCAGTCGCCGAGCAAAGCTCCAAACTGTTGAAGCAGTTGGCCATGAAGAAGATGCTTGGGGTATGTCACAGGTCGGTAGGTCCAAGGATTCGGGGGCTGAGGTTTCAAGCTTGGGGCCCCAGAAGGCAACTCCTTTGCTGCTCTTCTGAAACACCTGAAAATGAGGCACCAGGTTGTGAAACCCCAGAATACCTAGACCTAGCCATAGATCCCAAAGACTCTGACTAAAATCACTGCACCTAGAACCCTATGCAATGAATCCTACGACCGCCAAGCAACTGGGAAAGCGTGACGCCCCTCCCGCTGTGCATCTCAACGGCGCTGAAGAGAGCACGGACCTTACAAGCGCGGGGGAAGCAGAACCCCAGAATTCACCTGCTTCAAATCTATGAGCTAGGTTTCAGGGTTGAGGGCTATAGCTATCACGATCTAGGTTTCAAGGCTTAGGATCCACAACTCTCACGGTTTAGGTCTCTAACGGTACATCTGTAAAGTTCGATTTCAGGGCTCACCTTTTTGAAGCTAGGTGGTTGGGTCATACTTCAAGTCTGGTTATCTGAGCCAAACATTTCAAGATGTGGCTGGCGACATGCCTACGTGTTGAGGGTTGAGAGTCCTTAACGGTGACCAAGTGGCTATCGCCGCTCAGCGACTTCAATAGCTCCAGCCCTAATAGACTCCTAGCAATGGGCTTCAAAATAATCCGCGGCGGCGCCAGGACTCGGGGCTTTGGGTTCAACATGGTGCTTGCAGACGAAGTCCAAAGCTTGGAAGCGGGTAATTATGGCCAATCAAGGCAGTCGCCCCCTGGAAATCAGGAACCTTCAAAGTCGGCGGCAACATTGTGTTCAGGGGTTGATTGCACTTCAACATGACTTTAGAAGCAACACGAAGGGGGAAAGCATCAAATCAGCCCCCACCTTCGAGGTGCTCACATCGCGACGAAGCACTGTATTCGGATACTTGTGAAAACTCTCGCGGCCATAATCCCTACGGCAACACTTTCATGAGGTCATGCGCGTAAGTCCGTAGCCGTACACGTGACGCATGCCTTTGCCTTGTGGGCGTCCCCCTGCGTGCCCCGAACCGAGAGGTTTCAGACGCACCCAGAACACATTGCCCTCAAAACGCCTGCAAGAGGTCAGCCGGTCAGCCTAAATAGTTGGAAGAAAAGAAACGCATTCCGAGCCTGCGGTTACACTGAGGAGCTTCGTGCGAAGCATATCCAATGAAGTTGTCGCGATCTCCAAAAGATACACCTATGCCAGGCCCCATAGACGCTCAACCGCCTGATTGCCCCATCCTGTCAATATTTGGCTCGGGCCCCTGCCATCTCCGAATCCTTCTTCCTCTCGATCGCCAGGGCTTGGGCGATGAGAGGCGTCCAGAAAAGGTCGGAGTAGAACCCATGCTTTCCTCCATGCTCTGTGGGGAAGTCATACTAGCTAGGGGCGCCATTGGGTTCATAGGCTATGTAGGAGGATTCTACAGGCAGTAGCAGGGAAAGTCGCCCACGTCGTGTTTGATGGCCATAATACCCATGCAAATACTAGTCCACTAGTTATCCGTACTGGCGATGAGAAGTTTAGAGCAGCAATCCTGCTACAGTCACATTGTACCCTCTATGTGTGAACGAGAACCAGAGTAGTAGCGATATAACTCTGATGTAAAAACATCCTAATGGGTTCAGTTACGGGGGTGGTTTTTGGGGGGCGAAACGGCGCCGCGCATCGTTACGCTTCGTGTGGTCATTTCACGCACATGCTGAAAACCTTGGCCAGCGTGGTGATTTTGGCACGTTCGGAAGCCGCCGCTGCTTTCTGATTTTCTTCGCGCATGTTGTCGGCGGGACGAGAATATGCGCGTTTCGCGCCACGACAAAATGCGCGCGTTTTTCGTGTGTTTTATGTTGAGGCCTTGAAAAGCGTGGCCTGCGTGGCACGAGGGACACGTGCTTGAGGGCTGTCGCTTGCTGCGCGAGGGCTGCGCGAATTGCGCTTTTTCGTCATT